TATATATATATATATATATATATATATATATATATATATATAGTGTGTGTGTATGTCTGTCTGAATATGTATAAATATAGGGATAGACAGTGAGAGAGAATGCGAGAGAGAGAGAGAGAGAGAGAGAGAGAGAGTGAACGAAATGGTTTATATGAAATATACGAGCAAATTAAGTAAGACTGAATTTTTAAAAACCGGTTGGATGATTAATTTTTTTTTTATTATTTTCTCAAAGTTTCGCTCGTCAAATGCATTCTCAGAACAACTGAAAAAAAAATCTCAGGATTTTTCTTAGATTTCTTAGCAAAGTTGGCATGCTTATTTCATGCATTTTTCAGTTGTTCTGAAGACGATCTTTCTGAGCGAAACGTTAACAAGAGAGAAAAAATTTAAAGCATTCAACTAATTATCAAAAATTCCATCTTAATCTTAATATATATATATATGTATATATATAAGATTAAATTAAAACAAACGCAGTAGCTGCGTAAAAGAACAGGTCTAATGCCTTCTAACCCTTTGCATTATCATTTATTTTTTACCGTTTTATGTTTAGGGCATAAGATTTTCCATTTTCATATCCGAGCTAGTTTAATTACTGCCCGCTAGGGCGATTTTAAGCTTATATATATATCTGTGTGTGTGTGTGTGTGTGTGTGTGTGTGTGTGTGTGTGTGTGTGTGCATCGAACAAATAACCTTAAAACATCCCTCATGTTCGGGCAAATGAGTGAAAGTGAGACAGATACTGGAGAAATTCCAAGCCGCCCAAATCAAACATGACGAAACTGGAGAGGGGGACTAGTATGTCCTCAAAGCGTTGACTGGATCCAGTGGTTTGACCCCAAAAGTTATGGGTTCAACACCTGGCTACTGCAGTGGTGAACAAAGAACTTCTGGAGTTGAGTTAAACAGAGATATCCGGAAGAGGCATGGGATGTGGAACTAGAAAAATCTACCCCGGTGGACGAAATAAAGGGTTCAGTTCAAAATTCCAATCACCTGAAGAAGGCCGGAGAGTACAACGGCCGAAACGTCGTGAATATGACAACAAAGAGCCGAACAATGTAAATAGTGTAAATAATTACAATACCTCATCTCAGAAATATAGACAGAGAACGATAATTCTATTATCTGTATTTGAATATTAAGTATATATACGTATGTATATATATATATATATATATGTGTGTGTGTGTGTGTGTGTGTGTGTGTGTGTGTGTGTGTGTGTGTGTGTGTGCATGTCTGGGGGGATGTTACAGTTTTGAAAACATTTTACTTCAAGATGTTTTGCCTGTGATCTGACTAGTGATGCCGAATCTTCGGCGAGACATATCAAAGCATATTTACCATTTCGTCGGATTCCCATTCAACTTTACGCATATATATATATATATATATATATATATATATATATATATATATATACGAGGTTCGGAAAATCCAGCTATTTTTAATATTTTGGCAACCAGTTGTTGAACAGTCTTGATGCAACACGTCTACCAATCAGATAGGTTCTTCTTATTGCGCATACATAGACAAACACTCTGCCGTTGGGTTACTCAATAAATAGACATCACTGAGTGAGTTTCTGTACTGTATTACCTTCGCCTCGACGGCGAATATGGATCAGGTTTTGTTTGTAACTTGCACATTCGCCCACGGAACACAGTTTGCGAAGATTTAAGAAGAAAGGAGTTTTGGGGATTTTTTTTTCTCATCGAAAAGGAACCACACCTAGAAGGCCCCCCTAATTTGCAAACTGGTAAGTCAGAACTTTTGAACACGTAAACTCCCCCCCCAAAAAAAAATATAAATGGATCGGTCAACGCCTGGGAAAGCAAATGCTTTTTCTCTCGTCAAGGCAGTTGACCAATGACTTTGTTACACGTCATTATGTGGCAAATGAGACGCGACAAACGATGGCATGGGAAGTTCACCCACTTATGGCATACTCTTCAAATCTGTTGCCTTCACGCTACAACTTGTTTCACTCCTTGTTTGGTCGGCTGTCCCAACAATTTCAAGATATCAAAATAATATCAATAATATTTGATTCATTTAATCAAAATCCGGTCTGTTTGATTCATCCAATCAAAATCGGGGCCATTTGATTCGTCCAATCAAAATCAGTACTGTTTGATCCATCCAATCAAAATTGAGACTGTTCTTTCATGATGGAAGACAAAATTTAGCTAAAACAATGTAAGGTAATAGGAATTAAGGGAAAATACTAGGCTGCGTCTAGCAATTTCAGCTGTAAAATGATGAGACCTAGCTGCCAATCTAGTGCTGCGCTTAAATTCGTAAAGTCTCGGTACCAAAGAAGAAAGCTCTTCAGATCAAATACCATGAAAATATTTATATAAAAGGGACAGCGAAGCTACGTTACGGCGATGGGGTAAATGGCTAAAGCAGAAATGCCAGGTCAGGACCGATAACATTGCAGATTCTTCTTTGTATTTTATCAAGAATCATAGCAGAAACACTAGACTAGATGTGACAATATTCAATGCATAAATGAATAGTAGACTTATGTGTAAGATTCTGGCGGGAAAATATTAACCAAAGAACTCGAGTCATGTACTTAAAAATATTTTGTCATGGATGTTATGTTTGGTGTCCAAATCGTTCAAAAATGTCTAAATGAGCCCTATGGCTCTTGAAAAGGACTGTTCTCTGTCGGATTTCGTGGACTGACGCTGCAGAATCATAAACAAAGAACTGTACCAAATAACAGAAACCACCTCACTTGAGGACCCCCGAAAGCATCTTCAACTAAAATAGATAACACATGTAAGTAATAACATAATCAGGATTTTGACGTTCCACACTACTTCAAACAAAAGATTAGGAAAGAAACCTCACATCAGTACCGGAAGAAGCGACAACAATGAACTTGAGCAACCCTATTTTCCTGAAAAATTGTTTTAATAGAAAGATTTTACAAATGTCAACTAACAGTAGTACTAAATCTTCGGTCAACGAATACTGAATGTTTCCTTTTAAGAAAATGGATCACATTAACATTACCATTAGAGATGAGGAGAACAGATACTACACTTGGTATTTACCTCTCCCCACAATGAACGGATATGGCACAAGGCCGATTTGAATTGGGGAGCCCAAACGTGTGCACATGGGCTAAAGCCCCAAATTGTCCAGTCCCCGCAACCAACGTTGCGTTGGCATTGATATTCCACCGAGCCCCTTGTAATGTGAGGGGTGGTGTCGCAGGGTTAGAATCCCTGGGACCAGGCATTCCTCATTTATTTGTTGTGTTTCTGTCCGAAGACAGAAACACAACTGAGAGATAAAAGTTCGTCCACCCGAAGGCAGATATAGTTCGTCCACCCGAAGGCAGATACTGCAGTTACCATTTACTTGCCGCCCCCCCCCACAAAAAAATTTGACAGGATGTGACACAAGTTCGGTTTAATGTGGCGAGCCAAAGCGCGTGCGCCCGGGTCAGATCCCAAAATAGCCCAACTCCCGCGGCCGTCGGTCACGCTGGCATCGGCAGATATTACGGTTTGATTTTAAGTTGTACTCTGTCCGTTGATAGAGACACAATTGAGTTGCGCTATGTCCGAAGACAGAGGCACAATTGAGAATTAAAATGTAGTTTATCCACCCTAGAACAGATACTACGCTTTGATCCCGGCCCGATAGCCAATCCGTTGAGAAAGCGTAACTTGAGTAGCACTGACTGTTCGGTCAATGAACGCCATGTGAAGGAACGGATAATCTTATCATTACCATCACTTTGATAACGAAATGAATTTAAAATATGGCAAAAAGATGCTGGAAACTTTCACCCATCTAGAGAAAGAGATAGATGCAGAAAAAAGTAATTAGTGATACACAAAGTACAGGGGTAAGTCAAAAATTATTTGAACTTTCGCCATGACATATATTTAGGTTTGTCACACTGCCTTCTGGTCATGCGTGCTTATAGTTTGTACTATTGTGGTCACGTGATGGAAGTATGAGATTGATCGCGCCAGTTTTCTTGCTACTGTTACAGTGTAAACATGACCGCTCCGCTACCAGTGTGCACCAGGGAGGAACAAAGAGCAGTGATCCGAATCTGCAAAGAACATGCTACCTCATCAATGATAACTCGCCGGTTCGGCATTACCATCGCTCGGAGCTTGCTGAATCCTTTCGCCAGTAGTGGCGCTTGACCGGGCACTTTTAAATTTCTTGATACACTCATACACACTTCTACGCGGTAGTGCACCGTCGTTGTATTGTGTTGAAAACCTCCGATGAATTTCAGCCCCTGACACGCCTTCTGACCAGAGAAATCGGATCATTGCTCTTTGTTCCTACTTGGAGCGGCTATGTTTAGACTGTAACAGCAGTAATAAAAAATGGCGAGATTAAAGTCAAATTTCGATCATCTGACCACAATAATCCCAACTATAAACACGCATGAACAGAAGGCAGTGTGACAAACTGTTGAAACTTGACTAATGCATGGAATAATAATGCAACACAAAATGTACTTAGAACAAAATGTATTGAAACAAGAAAGTGTACACAATATTTACATATAGTCTTTTGTATATTCCTGGTAAGACCGTTCCTGGAGAATGTGTCGACTGAGTCGCAGTCGGGCAGAGTCTCTGGTTGAATCTCTTGATTCCTCCCTCTCTTCCCGGTACCAACCATATGTATATGGTCGGTACTCCACTATGCAAATTAGGTGGATCCTACCACAACACAAACCTAAACATATACTTTATTTACACTCTTACATAGTTGCATATAAACTACTGTCCTACTTGAGTTGAAAATATTAATTTTATAAGTTTACTTATTGGCTGAATGTCGGCTGATAGCAATACGCGAGGTCGCTTGATTTCAATTGACTGTTAGTAATCATAGTTACAAACAACCTACATTGATTTGATTTCGTTATTCCATGAAGCACACCCTTCTTTCTGTTGGCGAAGCAAGGAGTTTGGAGAGTCAACGGAATTCGGTATTAGTGTTTTAATTCGAACTTTTTGTCCCTGACGACGGTAAGCTATTTTGACGGGTTTCGTGACAGGCGAGCATAAAATTGACAGTTGTTCGTTGTCGACGAAACCTGCCTGAAATAGCCAACCAGAGCACGGTTGCGGACATTTTATCATTTTTTAACCAACCTGTTTAGTCTCTCTCTCTATCCCTTTCATCGACGTCGTTAAACGACACGGCTGAAGAGTGTCCGGCAGCATAAGTCCGATAAAACCTGTTTCAGATTGAAAAGAACGAAATTTTAAAAGAAAATTTTCCAAGAAAATCTAAGATGAATGCCGCTATGCAAATATCAGTTTCCTCCTGTAGAAAACAAGATGTTATTCCAGATTCTAAGGTCAGTAATTTCTCTCTTCATTTTTATGTCTTAAAACAAATATTCTGTACATACACCAATAATTTATGCAATAAAGACAATTGACAAGAAGTATGCTTTGTAGTTATATATATATATATATATACGATGAATGATGGATCAATAAGTCCGTAGCCTGACAAATACCAGGGAATACTGAAAATTTCTCGGCCCGACTAACTTCCTTCCCTGAATGGCCAAAGACCAGAATTTTTATTTTAAAGGGCAGAGAACCTTTCAGCAATCTTTCGTAGCTTTTAGCTGAATTTCGATCTGAAATTTTCACTGTATAATGTCAGATCTGTGTGATTAAAATTCCTCATTGAATTAACTTGTTTGTTTAATTGATTTTACATGTCAGCCTTTGTTGGTTTATTCATTATCGAATTTTGTATGAGGCACCTAGTGAGGAACGAATTCACTAATCAGTGATCTTGAATAACCAAACTAGCCTCGCTAACGATTACACCACCCCAAATTGCTACACTGAATTACGTGCATTAACACAATTTTCGTATGTTTTTTCATCACTAGGCGACGAACTTATTGATGTATCTACTAAAAGCTTCTTCTATATTTTCTATTTCATGTTTGTTTCTTTATTGAATTGCACATATATACCGTATATATTCGTGTATACGTCGAATATTGAACACGAAATATTTTGTTTAAAAATCTTAGCAGTGGACATGGGTGATAGTTTCGTTCCGTTGAAATCTGAGCAAAATGGGAAAACTCCAAAACTTCCCGCGAAAACATAAGAAATATTTACCAGTAAACGACAAAGAATAATACCTGTGCCATTTAGTAATCAAAAAACTGTGCCACACTTTCAAACAGGTGAATCTCATCAATTTCAAAATCACAGTTAAAAGACGCAATTCGTTAATAGCGTACAATGCCAGATAATCTTGTAGAAACGATGACCCGAAAAAACTAGAAAGTGAAAGATAAAATATTACCTTTTCGGATTCCGTTGTCCACAGCACGGACCTGTACCTACTGCTGCATCAGTTGTTTTTTAACACTTTCAGACACCGGTAAAGCATTTCTACCCATCCTCTACGAATTTTTATTCTAACCTAATGACGTCTAGCCCTAATCATTGCTCTAATGAATACCGGAAGTGCTGCTCGTTGTGTGAATACAATTTAATACGTTCGTCTGTATCGGGTTAAGTAGAACTTTTGAAAAAAAAAAATGACCGTAGCGTCTTTGTGCGATTTTTCCAGCATTGATTTATCGACAGTTTATGACATAAATAAACAAAGAGAAAAATTCCGACATTTCACCGTGAAAGTGACAAATATTCTTCTGTAATTCTCCATAATTCCTTGTCGCCTTTATTTTACTTGTGTTTCAATAGAATTTCACTTGATTTTCGTTTCATTTATCGTTTTTCTTTTCCTTTATTAAACATGCACTGACGTACAGAGTATTTTAAATGTAGGACAAAGGGGTTAACTGTTTTGCCTAGTGTATTTTAATATAACCCTCAGTAATCCGATAAAAACGAGTCCCCATGATGTTGAATTATTGATGGTTAACCTGTATTAGTTTTCGGTATTTTAGACTCGTTGTTTTAGTCAAACTTACCTGACACTGTACGCCATAAAAAAATGTGTCTTTTAAATCGTATTTATTCTTTAAAAGAACTGGAATCAATCTATATGCGATATTTAATAAGCTATTGATTCTATGGCACAAATTCGATTTCCTATAAGTTTCTTTCGGTTTAATAACAACCCCTGTACTAGACATGGAAAATATCCATCAGTTACAAAAAATATACTGTTTTATTACAATAATAGTCTATCCTATTAAAATATTTCATTTATTATTGTATTTATTTAACCGAATAAATATTTCAATGGAAAACTACAACATTTAATCTAAATTGCTAAATATATAATAAATGATAAGTATTTGGTTTTTGGCGCTCGTGGCTTCAACTTCAAAGAATGCCAATTTCTCATCAATGTTTTCTTATCTTTTAGTGAGTGTTTTTTAATTGTCTCTTACACGTTATTCTGCTAATTTCTTTTTGGGGTGATGGCTTTAAAAAAATAGTCGACCTATACACGAGGCGTATCGGAAAGAAACGATTCCATGGGCCAAAACCAAAAGTACACTGGCGCCCAAAGTTCGACGACTTATACACGAGTACATGTGGTAAATTATTTTTATTTACATGAATTATCATACAGTGCTGAAGTAAGTCAGCGCATATCTCCCAACTGCTTTGCGGTTGAAAAAGTTTCAGTATTTTCATTTCCTGTTCTAAGTGTCTCTCTCTCACACACACACACACACACACACACACACACATATATATACACACACACACACACACACATATATATATATATATATATATATGTGTGTTTTTGTGTCTGTATATATATATATATATATATATATATATATATATATATATATATATATATATATAGGTACCTCCACGAGATCGGTAAAAAAAAGAGCATAGCATGATGAAAAAGACGCCAAACTTGACGAGAAACAAAATTTTATCGTCTAAATGTTTATGTTATTATTAAGAGGAAAGATCAAAGTATTTTGGGTGTATTTTTTTACATTTTTTAATCGTTTCTAGCACGTCCAAAATTTTCGTTAATAATCTTGTTTTTTTTTTTTAGACAACAAAATTGACAGATTTCAACCATTTTTTCCATTTTATAAAAAAAAATTAAAATCTCACTTTGAAATTCTTTTAAATATCAATTATCATTTTTTTAAACTTATTTTAAGAAAATCAGAAATTATAATGTTTATTTAAAATATTTTGAACCAAACTTAACTTAGCTTCTGCGCCGAAAAGCTGAAAAAAAATTAAAAATTTGAAAATAAAACAAAGCAGGTCATAAACTTTCGCGTCACTTGACAGGTGATGAATGACATATTGACGGATTCCGTAAGGATAATTTGTTCTACGGAAGGAGAAAAGTGAAATTATTTACATTTAAGTGAACTAATTATTTACTTCGTTATTTTTAAGGAAAACTTTCAGCGCTCTACTTTTCTTTTTTTTTTTTGTACTTAGCTTTCACCTTTACGTTTACGATGCTTTATGGAAAATATATTATAAAGAAATTAAAATAAGACTGTTAAGTGTGAGATTAAATTTTATATTTCATAAGAAAGGTATCTAATTAATTTATAGGTACCTTTCTTATGAAATTTTATCAGAAGTGTACATAAAATACTATAATTTTACGTACATTTATTACATTTTACTGTGTTAAATTGTTTTTCCATTCATTTAATTATTAATTTTGATATTTCATTTATGGAAAAATATCATAACAGATTAATATAAAAAGATCATATAAATTTTATAAGATGATGCTGATACTTGTAGGTCCCTTCTCAGTTGAAATTGAAAAATCAAATTAATTTCTCCACACGTGTTTCGCAAAAAGGCCTTAACAGCGGAAAACAATATTTACTCAAATAAAGCAACTTAATTGTATTCTGGTTGGTCTTCCGTACTTTATAATTACAGCCCGATTATAAACACAAAATTACATTTTTTTTAATTACTGCGGTTAGTCAAAATAATACAATTTACAACGCACTAAAAAAAGATTTATCTCATAAGGAGACTTAGGAAACCCGATGCGGCTTTTAACTAATTTTATAATATATAATATAATATTTTAACAACTTAAATGTAAAAATCTATTATAATTAAAAAATAACAAATAATTGTATTAAAAATTCATTTTTTATCGAAAATATTTTTTGCTTTCAGAAAATGTTGTCCATATTCATAAAAACAACTAAAAGCAAATAAAAGCATTTGAAATTAAATAATATCTTTGTTTTATTGAGTTTTTTTTATGCTACAATTCAGGTAGGGGGGGTCCAATTAAAAGCAAAAAAACATGATTTGCATTCCTCAAAGCCTTGTGGTTTTAACTATTGTAATCACTAAACCCGATGCGATCGAATTTCTAGCGTTTTCATAAAATTAGTCATGGGGGGTAATAAATATTTAAAAAAATATTTCTTCCATGACTTTAATAAAAAAAACATATAATAATTTCGATCATCTGTGAATAGTTCCTGAAAGTTTCATTAACATCCGACAATTATTTTTATTTTTGCATGATTTTCCAAATTAATGTGTGTCATACCAAAAAAAAACGTGCTAAAAATTGTCTATGTTATTTTACTAGTTCCGGTGATACAAAGAGAAACAAGGTTTTTTTAATCAAAATTTAGAATGTTCTAAAAAGAAGGAAAAATTAAAAAAAGTAATTTAAAAAAAACTTTGAGCTTTCCTCTTAATAATAACATAAGCATTTAGACGATAAAATTTTGTTTTCGTCTTTTTCATCATGCTATGCTCTTTTTTTAGCGATCTCATGGAGGTACCTATATATATATATATATATATATATATATATATATATATATATATATATATATATATATATATATATATATATGGATGTGCACGCAGTGTAACAGTTATCGGCGCGAAATTGGGATTGGTGCCCCAAGTTTAAATTTCTGCCGAGCCCGTTGCGTTCGCACAATGACCTTGAAAAGGCATGAATCCACCTCTTCCCTAGCAGTCTGACTGAATTTTGTAGCCTGTCTAAGAAAAGAAAAATTCTGAATTTAAAACCTACTGAGGGTAGCAACTCCACCCTGTAAAACCTACCTGCTTGAGAAACTACAATAGTACAGTAGTAGCAGCAACGCGTGGTGTGGTGAAGCTGTGGCCTTATGTTTCACAGTGAGTATACACTCTTGCATCATCATCCTCATTATAAGCAACACTTGAAAAACAGTGGTTCTTTGGCAAAACTAACATTTACACCAAATGAAACAAAAATTCAACTGATAGAGTAATATCAAGTGTTTTAAACCAAATTACACGAAATACTCAGCGGAAACACGCTAAAATTTGGCTATATATGCACAGTAATATGCTAGAAATCATAAAAACAGGAAAATCACTACGACACCACAAACATCACCATCAACACCTGTAAATGCAGAACAACGTCCGAATGCCCACTAAATGATAACTACATACAAAATAATGTAATATACCAAGCTGCTATAAGAACCTAAATAAGAGAATGTCCCTTAAAATAGAGAAACTGTTCAGGCAAAACATAATTTAGCAACAAAATATGTGCAAATAGCACTCTCAAAACCTTTACAGGATCACAAGAATGCAACCAACAACACGCCAAATATAATATGGAAGATAAGGAAAACAGCACCAGCTTACAACACGTCAAGCACAGCAACCTACAGAACAATATAAACTCTCAAACAAATTCAAGTGCCAAAACACATTCCTATTGCTCTACTTACAACTACATCATAACCGCAAAGGCATAACTAATAATAAAGTATAACCTATAATTAATTTCTAACAAATATTAAACTGGAGAAAGTATAAAAATAAAACATATAAAATAAAATAAAAATAAATAAAAATAAAATAAACAAACTTAAGGTCAGGGTCTTAAATAATCTAAAATCATTAGTCCTAAACAAAACCTGGGAAAAACCAGTTTCTCCCTTTAGTCTGCACTTCAGTGGACTGTATCTAAAGAGCTTGTATAAAGAGGAGTAACATATGGTTTGATGATCTTTTTGTATATAAAACTGTTACTCACCACGCAATGTTAATTTCTATGTTCCCACTGTTTATGTACACAAACACTATATCCCCAATATAAAATAGTTTCCCCTTATAAATATGGCCAATTTTCAACGTTAGATAGATTTTGATATAATCACATAGATTGATTAATAGTTTCATTGATATAATCACATAGATAGATAGATAGATAAATAGATAGATAGATAGATAGATAGATAGATAGAAAGGATGAAGAAAGTATAGGGTGCAACAGAAATACTTCCTATAATTTAAAGGTTGACAAAATGACCACGGTAATTACTATTAAAACAATTATTTCACTGTCGTTTAAACCATTGGCTACAGATTTATTCTTTTGCTTTTTAAAATGACATCCTCTAAATCGTGGCTTCTATTCACCATACACTGTTGTAGACGATTTCTAAAGTTTACCATCACCAGGAAGTTTGAGCGATTCGAGGTCTTCCAGATGGCTTTCTTTTAAGCGCTGAGCCTGTGGCCCTGAAATTTTCCATCATGGCAGTATTGATTTTCTATCCGGAATGGAATCATTCCGACGTCATATGAAACGAACCCGAAAAGTTCCCTGTGTCGCAATTACAGATTTACCAGTCTTAAAAATAACGTTTCAGCAGCAAACGTACTTTGTGCAGTGGTTCAAGCAATTATGGTAACTGATGGCATCTGACAAAATTGGTGAAATATTTGCTAGACGAAGACACCATTGCCACTTTTCTAAGTTCACAATCACCAAATCGATGACAGTTTAAAATGTGGGAGTTATTTATGCCGCATTGGGTATTTTTCTTCTTAAATGGAATGGTTCGTTTCACATCTTCCTTCATCCCTCTATAAGCGATGGAAAAGCCAAACCTACAAAATTATTGGCTACATAACTGTGCAGATTTTACTATAATCCGACTCTCTCTCTCTCTCTCTCTCTCTCTCTCTCTCTCTCTCTCTTAATTACTTGTACATTAACATTTTCGGCTTCCGATGACCTAAAGAGATCTACGGTCCCATTATAAGTGCATGTCTTACCATTTACTAAGTTTAACTTATCACAGAGTCAGAATAAGTCAACTGTGAGGATCAAATTTCTTTCGTAAGCATTTTTTGAGATGCGGGTCAACTAACGATTAGCAACACCAAAAATGGAATCCATGAGCCGAATTAAAATTTAGACTGAAACGGTTTATGTTCACTTGAGCACAAATGCACTGGGGAAAAAATCCGAATAACTCACTTCTTTCCCAAGCTATGGATTAGCTGGGTAAACAGAAATCTCTAACCTTATCTGGCAACCAATCTGGAAGAATGACAATTCGAAATTCAAAACTGTAGGATAATTACAGCAATGCACAACTTAAAGATATTAAAGCAATGAAACTGTGGAGATCATTAATCACTGAAAAGATTTTATCTTTAATCTGAGAAAACAACGAAAGTAACTTACAGCACTTATTTACTAAACTTTGCTTAATTTTGATCATGTGCCGTGTCCCTTCGGGGCGTAGGGGATCATAGCTCTTCACAACTTCCTATCCTTTGTAGCTCTTAGTAATGGTTTTTAAAAATTTCTCCTACTCCTTGGTCTGCCATTTAATTTCTACAAGCTCGTTAGGTAACTTACCCACTGTTTCCCTGTGTGGCCTTTGCTTTAAACATTTCCTGTGAGTATCAAATTCTCCAAACCCTTTTTCTCCCTTATGTGTCTTAAAAACTTCAAGTTTGTTTTTTATTCTAATTAAACTGTCCAACAAAATTTAACTTTTTGTCGTCTACAAAGATGAGAATATAGTTTTCTAGGGTCGTTTGGGGTGTAGATTATGAAAATAACATTCATTTTTTACGAAATGACGACAGTTTTCGTAAGTTTCCCACTAATATAATGATATACCTGAAGCTTTTGAAGAACTAAATTTCCAGCATGAAGTATTTTCATTGACGGCTCTCTTTAGAGAACCCAAATCGTGTTTTTGCATATTAGAAATATGCTGCCATCGATTCCTTTAGCTCATTCTGTTCCTTTAAATGAAACTCACGTAAATCTTGATTTTATTTTAAACAAAATTAAATACAATGAACATAATCAGTTCAGATCTTAAGGTAGCTGCTGAAGTGCAGGCAGCAGACTATAAGCAGATTTATGTCTTTTTGTGTCAATGGGAGAACCGAGTTCAAGGTGAACAGTACACACTCACAGAATGACCATTAAAAATGAATCAAATTTAGTACATACTAGCAGCATGGCCCGGCGTTGCCCGTGTTTGATTCAAAAATTGTACAATTCATACAGCAATCGCTATCACTTGACTTAAAATATTTTGCCCTTCCTTGCCTTTAAAGGAGTGCCCTTTGCCGTGCTGATGTTGCTACATGCCTTACTTCTTGCCTCTCTCACACTGCGAATTTTTTCTCAGCTCTATACTAAACATTAAATCTGTTACGAAAAAAGAACTAAACAAAATGAACACAAAACGATAAGCTTTAAAAAAGGACTCGTAACTGGAAAAACAGAATGAAAAAAGAATGTTAACAACAAATACTTTTTCACACCCAACCCAGTTCTGCGGAATTAGAATCAACGTTGAGTTTAAGCAAGCGAATGAGCCAATTGGAGTAAAGTGCTATGCAGATTTAATTTTTTCCCACTTGTGACGAATGCAGCTATCGATTTTTTTTTTTTTTTTGCAGTCAGCTGTTGGTTCTCACGCTGGCCAATAGAATCTTCCTGCCTATTCGTGGCAGCCAGCTATTGGCTCTCACTCTGGCCAGTACAAAATGGCCGCAAAGTACATGAAAACTGCTGTAGAAGCATGAAAAAATCAGGCAAAGTCAGTCTTGGCCTTCCGTCTAACTTGGAACATGTGCATGTAAATTTTAGTGCAAATCCGTCGATAATTTCGGCCGTGCATTCGTTACCCACACACACATACTGCCTTTTATAGATAGAGATAACATTATACATGAACCGGTAGTGGCCAAGGAAAACATAATCTTGCCACCACTTCATATAAAATTGGAGTTAATGAAACAATTTATGAAAGCCTTGAAAGATAATAATCCCTAATTTTTTTTATATTTAAAAACGAAATTCCCATGGCTTAGTGATGTTAAAATTAAAGAAGGTATCTTTGTCAGGCCTCAAATTCAACAGCTCATAAGAGACAATGAATTTGAAGCAGCATTAAACAAAGTGGAATTGGAGGTCTGTCAATGGTTTCAAAGACGTATGTAATGATTTCCTTGAAAAGCAGAAAGCGCCAAATTATGGAATACTAATTCAAAATATGATTGAAGCATACAAAAACTTAGGATGCAGTATGTCACTAAAGGTGCATTTTTTGCACACACATTTGCCCATTTTTCTTTCTTTTTATATGCCATATCCTTTCAGGACGTAGACGATCATGGCCCTCCATCTCTTTCTATCTCTTGCAGCTCTCAACAAGTTCCTTCCCTCTGCTTCCTCCCCCAGACCACGTTCTGTCATCTATTTACTTAAGCCCGCCAGATATGTCACGCATTGTTTTCCCTTGTCGCTCTTTCCCTCTATCCGACCCATGAGTATCAGATTCTCCAGCCCCTCCTTCCTCATTATGTGTCCCAGAAACTACAGCTGCCACTTCCTGATATTAAGTATAAGCCTCCTCCTTGTTTGCAACCTCTCTAAGATATCATCGTTGCTCATACGCTCGGTCCATGATATCCTTCTGTAGAACCACATCTCCGACACCTCGAGTTTCTTTTTCATCTTTGAGGAAATCGTCGAACATTCGCTGCCGTAAAGAAGGACAGATGTCACGTAACAGCTCAGTATTCTTTTCTTTGTAACCAAAGAAATCCTCCTGTCTCGAATTATTCTGCCCAGCTTTTGGAATGTGTCCTTGGCCATCCCAATACGCCTACGGATCTCAGTGTCGCACTTACCGTCCTCTGTCAAAACCCTTCCTAGATATTTAAACTACCACGTCTGCTTGATTCTAGTGTTCCCGGCCTGCAAATCGCATTTCAGGCTCATCCTTTTACTGATGAAAATGCAGCAGTCATCAGCGACGAATATGGTGGAAGGTTCCGGAAAGATATTGTCAAAATAGAAAATCTTTATGAAGGCAAGTGGAGTCCTACTTTGCTGACTGATTTTTGCTAGACTCTTCATAAAGACAGGCCAGATGCTAAACATAAAAAAAAGCACAAATAATCTAAAAAGTAAATATTTCTTAGTAAAAAAAATTCTTTTAATAAATAAGCCTGTGCTTTCTTAGATATTTTAAAAGAAATAAAACGTTTATATGAACATGTTTAGTATCTATACATATACTCGTAAATCTAAATTTTAAGAAATTTTAAGAAATTGAATTCGTAAATTACAAAAACCTGGAGTCACTGCGTAAAAAATGGAGTTTATTTTCATGATTTATTAAAAAAAAACTCTAGAAAACTACATTCTTGTTTCTGTAGCAAAATCATTGGTGGACAGTGTTATTAGAGTCCATTTTATTTCCATTTTCCTTAAAACTTCCTCATTACTCACATGCTCCGATCGTAGTATTCTCAGCATCCATCAGTAGAACCACATCTCTAATACTTAAAGTCTCTTCTTCATCTGTGTGTATATTGTCCAGTGTTCACTGCCATATAGGAGGATTGATATTAGTATAGCATTTTCACATTCTTTTCTTTATATCTAACGGGATTCTCCTGTTTCTCCGTACGTTGTTTAACTCTTGTCGCTGTTCCAGTGCGTGTTTGGATTTCGGCGTCCCATTTTCCGTCCTTTGTTAAAACACTTCCTAAATATTTAAATTTCTATATTTGATGATTTTGACATCTCCACTTTGTAGTTCAGATTTTGAATGGTTCCCCTTTTGCTAACAACCATTGCTTTCTCTGTCGTCTTACAATTGATAGTTAGTCCTTTACTCGCGCCTTCCTTTACTCTTTTGTCTAGGAGTTCTTGCAGTTTTGTTTCGTTATCTGACATCAACACGATGTCATCTACATATTTTATATTGTAAGGATTGTACCCACCAATAATAAATCCCGGTAGAACTTCTAGTTCTCTTAAGATCGCTTCAGTGTATAGATTAAATAAATCCATTGAGAAGAGGAATCTTGCGATCTTTTCTGTTTTTGTATATTAACTGAAATCATTTTCTAGCCGTATTCAACATAATTCGTTTGCGAGATGAGTTACTTAACAATTGCACTACAGTAGGCGCAATTTATAGACATTTGTATGAGTTTGTGGATAAGATTATGTAGATATGTGTGGGTATAAGTAGGAGCTTGGAATTTTTATCATTAATTCTTTTAATTAACTCACTTGTTTTAACTCCTAGTTTCTAACGTCTCCTTCGAAGTCATCTATAGAATTATTATGCAAAAAGCACTCTATGCATTAATCTGTTTGTGATGGCGTGTAAAAGTTTGTTAAAAGAAATAAAACAAATCGATATATATATATATATATATATATATATATATATATATATATTCGTCTACGAAATTCTGGAATCAGGGTGCTGAATATAACATCAAACAGTGACAAGTTTTATATTTGTACTAATCCTACATATATATATATATATATATATATATATATATATATATATGTGTGTGTGTGTGTGTGTGTGTGTGTGTGTGTGTGTGTGTTTTGTGTGTGTGTGGTTGTGTGTGTGGTTTTGTGTGTGTGAGTGTGGATATATGCATCTATGTATGTTTGCATGTGTGCATATATAGTTGTATTTATGTATGCGTTTGAATCCTTGTGTATGTGTGTGTGTGTGCGCGCGCGCACTTGCATATCTGTTAATATAAGTTTCGTTTTGTGTTTGTTTTGTTTTGTTTGTTTTTTTGGGTTTGTCCTTGTTTTTTTTAGAGAGAGGTTGATTTTTGCTTTATTTTTGCTTTGGTTGTTTTATTTTTGTTATTGTCTTGTTTTTTCTTTCACTCATCCAATACTGACTGGGTTTAATCTTAATTTTAATAAAATCCCAAAATGGCATTTTGTTTTATTCCGCGTCAACCCTTTTATTTCTTAGGACCTCCCCCACCCAACCCTCTACATACGTATTTGTCAAATCTCCTTTACATATCTTCCCTTCAAAATCGCTGAATATGCCAGAGAATATAAGAAAGAAAGAAAGAAAGAAAGAAAGAAAGAAAGAAAGAAAGAAAGAAAGAAAGAAAATCTAGTATTCAGTTGTCATCTTTATTTCAGGACTCTCGTCCGCATGCGTGATGACGTCACCACTGATAGCCCTGACATTCAATGCTAAAGCGTTCGCAACGTATTAACGATATATTTAAAACACTGTTGGTCGAAGATAAAACAAGGTAACAAAGAGATCTTGTGTTTATATCCGAAAATAAAAGAAAACGTTTGACGGCTAAATTATTACCGAATATTTTCTATCGTTCAGTATTTCTCGTTTCTTGTCAGGCTGGATTTCGCCTGATAATCTCAGCAGCTTGTCTGTTAATCTCTATTGTCTGTAGATTTGACATCATCCGTTCTAATCTTCTGCCGCGTCCCGTGTATTTTTAGGATCCCTTATCATTTTAACAGATATTTAACAGAATACTTAAGACATTCCCTTTGCATAAATAACTAAAAAAAGAAAAAAAATAGAAAAAAAGACAAGTTTCATTCGTGAAAGATAAAAGGATTTTTTTATGCAGTATAAAATAATTTCTATAAACGGATCAGATTATTTTTAAATATGATTCTTTAATTGTTTTCTTTAAAGCAGTAAATTATAATATTTTTCTCCTTCTTGAGCCTAATTTCGCTCTTTCCTGCCTACATACGTTACACTTCGATTAAACTCTATTGTACCTGAGTAACTAATTAATAGACAAGATACTGTAATCCACTGTCTATAACTTCGAAAAGAATCATTAACATTCCAGACGTGATGTTCTTACGAAAATATAGGGTGTCCATAAATTCCGTGTGCAATTTAAAATATTTGTATACTTGATAGAAACAATCTGTAAAAAGGATCAAAAAGAAGAAGCAATTAAATTTATTATTGGGATTGTTCATTTTCAACATTTCCGCCATCATTACGCATAAATACCGACGGACGTGTAGGTACGACAGTCTGAGCCTTAGTCTAAGAGCTAAGTCTATAACGACGCCCATTGGACTACGCCATTGATCTACACTTCTTACCTGCGATTACGACGCGTACCAGTCGATTACTGCTACCATATTCTACTTGGTTATAGTAGCCAAAACCACTTAGCTACTTCGTTCAAATATATTCCTTTCCGGGACATATCAGAAAGTATAATACGATTTTGTAGTTTCCAGGGAAACAATATTTGGCAGCTGATTTTCAGGAATAATTTCAATCTCATCAATTATCTTAGCTTTCAATTCCTCTAAAGAGCAAGGTTTAATTAAATAAACATTAATTTTCACACATATCCCCCTATAAAAACAAATCCAATGCACTCAAACAGCAATTCTGAGAGAGAAAAAAAGCAATTTTGAAATTTCAAAAAATTGAAAACAAGACTTCATTTTGAAATAATTGGTAAAAAAAAAATGATAAATACATTTTCCGAAGACAAGACATATCTAGCTTTCTTATTCTTTTTACAGATTGTTTCTGTCACACATAGTTACAAATCTACAAGCATTTTTAATTACACACAGACTTTATGGACACCCTGTATTTAGGTTGATATATTGTTCATTCATCTTTGCTAAAAATGGGCTGATTTGATTAGTATAGAAGCAACGATGTTTTTTGGTTGTTATTTTTTGAGGGGGTGCGTATTATGTACCTGACGAAGGTTGGTGAATGGATCGACCAAAACTCCATGTTCATAGTCTCAAGTTGTAACGATAATACAATATTCAAGCGGTTATTTTATACTTAAATGATGGCAGTTAATCATTGTTCAAGGTTAAGTTCATGTTACCCGGGTGCTTTTGAAATTCTGAATATCAAAAAAAAAAAAAAATAATAAAAGAAAAAGAAATAAAAAAAATCTTTAATTTAAAATGTAGTATGATTGCACAGGGCACGATGGGTAAATTGTCGCCATTTTATATTTTTGATTTCACGCATGCGCGTTATTTTTTATTTTGTCAACGGCACAGTATAGTACGATCAGTTGGACACCATCTGTGAGAAAAAAGTACCATGACGCAATTCACCCCGCTAGAAATTTCGAAACGACATACTGTACTGCTTGGCATTCGCGCCGGAAGTTCCGATACGAACATTTCAGGTGTTTGGGTGTCAATCTGGGGACAGACAATTCGGAAATAGCTGGATGAGTCTAATCGGGATTACGAAGGATCTCTGGCCGTTCTGATAAGAAAAGAACACCCGAATTTGTTGGTAAGCGCCTCAGACTCAAACACGGAGGCCTACATTAAGTGCCTTAAGGAGGTAGTGCTGTCCTCGTCCAAGAGTTTGGCTTCTGGAAATTCCTATGTCTGGTAACAGAACACTGCACCATGCCAGACAAGCAGGAGAACTCAGTCAAACAATTTCTGCGGCCACATCACCACTTACATCTGGCCAACTAACTCCCTAAACTGCACCCCACCTTGATTATAATATGTGGGCCCCAGTTGAGCGCGAGACCAACAAAACTCCTTGTAACACCAAAGATGAACTGAAAGCAAGGATTATGGCAGCATTTACAAACTTAAACAAGGAAACAGTCCAGAAGAGTTGCAGGAGATTCCGAAGTCGTCTGGAGGCCGTGGTTGAAACCAGTTTAATCTTTAGTATTTTAAGATATTTTTGTGTAATTTTGGTAAGTATATCTGTTAAAATGAGATGTCAGTGTAATTTTTATTTTTGCGTCATTTAGACGACAATTTATCCATTACATCCTATAGGTTATTTTTGTTTTTTTTTAATGAAATGAAGAAAACCATTAAGATAAAAAAAATAATGTTAATGTTTCTAATATGTAATTATTTGTAATCTGTTAACCATAAGTGCGCATGCGCGACCTTGGCCAACACGTCAGTAATTTAAATTAATTCTTATTAGTTGTTTCTGTGGATAATGTGAATGAGGAGGAAGTTCAAAATTTTCTCTCATCGCTTAGCCATGAATTAAGTCGGAAGGAAGAGAAGACTGTTACTTTTTTGCGGTCGAAGAATGTGCTGCTCAAAAGGAAATTATCCGAAAGAAAAAAAAATCCAGATAAATTGGTCAGTTGGATTCTACTTGTAATTAAACTTCCTTTCATATTTATTGTCTACCCTGTGTATCTCTCTCCAATCTGAAGTTGCTTTCAAAATGGAAATCGTAATATGATTGGTCTACAGATAACGCATATGATTGGTCTACAAATAACGCATATGAATCATCTACGGATAATGAATATGATTTTCCCCCATTTATAGCGATTTACTAAGCGTAGCTTAGATGTACTACAAGGTCGAAGAATGATTTTCTAAACGTAGCTTAGATGTGGCATCAGGCCGAAAGTATGAGGCACCCAGTGAGGATCGAACTCGATAGTCAGTTATAATTGATCTAGCGAGACAAGCTTTCTAACCATTACATCACGTCGGCGTACCCAGTGATTTACTCAGCGTAGCTTAGTTGTGGCACAAGGTCAAAGAATGATTTTTCTAATCATAGCTTAGGTGTGGCACAAATAAATAATTTAGTCTGTTTCCTCGTCTTTCTCCGCCGATTTTTCGCCATAATGAGCAAAGCGCATTCACATTACCATCTCAGATTTCTTCCTATTTTCATATAGGTCTACAGATAAAGGATATAAATGGTCTATAGATAATAAATGTGCCAATACAATAGTCTCAATATAATGCACCTATCAGCAGATGCCTAATATCGGGGCTAATGTATTGTCATTTGGTGCGTGGGATCAGGACCGTTCAGTAGTTTTCGCTACTAAGGTTCCTCACCCTCATAACAAAATATGAAGGACATATAAGGAAAAATCCTACTTTACATGCAAAAAGTCTTACCTCGTAAAATCTTGTACAGAAAATCTAATTTGTAATTCTAGTCTTTACCTGAAGATTCATCATTATCTTGCCTGTTTAATCAAATCCGTTACTGGGCCAAAAATGTTTAATTGACAGATTCATGTGAGTGTAGCAAGCTAAAGATAAGTAATATTCTCAACAAGAGAGCTGGAAAAATATATAAATCTTATATTTGTTAAAAATGATATTTCTGGATGAATTTTTAATCCTATTCAATCTTTCTTATCAAATCACGAAATGAAAGTCATCTTGAACGGCCACTCTTCTAGATCTTTCTTGTATTAAGGCATGTATCACCCAGGGCTCTTTCCTCTGGCCTACATTATTCCTAATTTTCTTCAACAACCTTCCTGCCTGATATCATCAATTCTCAACTCAGTATCTATGCTGATGACACAAATATTTACTCCTGTCTTAATAGTAAGTCTGATCGGTCCGATAAGGTCAAATTGACAGCTGAGCTCAAAATTGACCCACATTCTGTTGTTAATTGGGACAACAAAAGACTTGTTAACTTTAGCGTCTCCAAAATAAGACTTGTCTTTTAGTCATAGAGAAAAATGCAATGCCAATCGTTATCAACTATCTTCTTAATTTCTGTTCTTTTATGTTCTCTCTCTTTAATAACGTTTTAATTTTCTCATATTCTCTCACACTCAGTAATCCTTTGCGTCATAGTGGCTGCATTGCCTTCTTGGAGTGAAATGCTTAAATAAAAAGTAAAAGTGTGGAAATTCTTCGACCCCTTGAGTTAATAATTGAAAATTCATTCATGTAAAATACTTTTTTATATATATCATATTTTCATATTTGAAAAAAAAAAAAAAAAGTAATGTGTTGTTCAAAGATTAAACAGAAAACGAAGAATTGTTGCCATATCTGGGTTGGGGCTGTCCAATCTTCCCTTTACCGCCTTGACTGAGTTCAAAATCGTCTTGTAAGGGATTGACTTATTTTCCACTCTTTCCCTACTATCGCAACGTCAAAATTTTGTCTTTACTTACAAAGCAAATATTCAGACTACTCCATTATTTAGTGCCACCGTCTCTCACCTTTACAGTCATGACTCGCCTTTCTACCTCCACAATGTTAAAAGTTCCTTTCTTCCCTACGTAATATCTTTGTAAGAAGGGCTTTCCACTCCGAAAGTCGTTAAAACATTACACCAAAAAACTGAATATTGTTAGCATATCTGAGATAGACTGCTCAATGTTCACTTTCCTGCTGAGATTAAAGTTCAAAGTCGTTTTAAGCGATCTTGTGAGACATTACTTATTTTACTATCTGCAGCTTCTTCCTAACAGGCGCAATGTCGCAACCCTATCGCTATTCCCATGGCAAATGTTCGCATGAGTTCTATTCCTTACTTCCAGCAGTTCAGACCTTTACACCTCGAACGCGATGTGCTACATCCTTGGAGTCTAATCACTCTCATTTCTTCCATATTCCATTTGAAAGGAGGAAGTTTCGTTCTGACACTCTTTTCTCAAGAACTGCTACTTTGTGGAACAGACTTCGGACCGAATGCTCCCATGAACAGTACAGTTTTAAATTCAACTCCAGGGACAATCGTTATCTATCCTCCTTATCCTCATAAACTTCACCCTTCTCGTACATTCATATCACACACTTTAGTAACTGCAATAACCTCTACCTTGGATGACTCTCGAGCCTCTTAGTGGGTGAATTTTAATTAAAATAAAGGTATATTCATTCTTTTAGCTTTAGATATTAACGAAGACATTCCTGTAAAACCTAAGCGTTGTGATGAATACAACAATAACGTTAAAAGCAAAGTCCAGCCAACATTAATGACAAAACTCGCTTTGGACGGTGGAAATTCCTCAAGTGTTGAATACAATGATAGTATATGTATGTATGTATGTGTGGGGGGGGTGTAGGCAATAGCTTGATCCGAAGCTGAGAGGACAATTAATTGGGATCCTATATAGTGTAGAAAAATAAGTTCGGTTGCCGTCAAACGTGGGAGGCGGAGTGTTTGCCATTGCTTGTTTTCAAAGCGAGGCCGCTCCGAGCACTGGTTTTGGGTTTGTTTTTTTTTTACCGGAAGGGGTGAGATGCGCAGGTCTGCCATCTTGATACATAAGACCTGCTTTCCCTCCCTCATCTTTTTTTTTTTTTTTTTTTTTTTGTAAGAGGACTTTATGAGAACAGTGTAGTTCTGTGGGCTCTTCTCTCATTATTAATTGATCCCTGACTGAAATTTGGGTCGCGAGACTAGGCGGTGTTTCACAACACTTACTGTACCGGACCGGCTTCTGATTTACCCTTTGAGTCGAAAGGAATTTTCAACAACAGAAAGTCCTAGAAAACAACAATGATCCTAGACAAGTCTTAATAGTAAGTTTGGTCGGTTCGATACGCTCAAATTGACAGCTGATATATATGACCTTCAATCTGTTGTTAACTGGAGCAAGAAATGCCATGTTAATTTTAACGCCTGCAAAACGAAACAGCTCTCTCTTAATCACCGAAGTGAACTTTTTTTGCCTTCCATTACTATGGCTGATGCTAACCTCCAGGAGAATTTCATATTGCGCCTTCTCCGGCTAAGGTTATCTGTTAAAATGAAAGTGAAAAGATTATACAGAATTAATTGCTAGGTCTCCTGCTAGGAAAGTTGGTTTACTGTGTCGTGCTAGGCAATATTTTCTAGTCAGAAACTATCTTAGACATTTATAAGATTACCATTCGTTCATGCATTGAATATTGTTGTCACATTGGTCTGGTAATTCTGCTATGTATTTAGAGATTTGGGATAAACTACAAGGAAGAATATGCAATGTCAATGGTCCTGACCTGGCATCTCAACTTCAGTCACTTTTTCAACCGCCGTAACGTAGTTTCCTCTTGCCTTTTCCGTAAATATTTTCATGGCAATTGTTCTGATGAGCTTTCTCTTTGGTAATGGATGTCGGGGTGATGTAACGATAGCGACTTGAAATGAAAAATCGGTGAGCCGGGTTCAGTTTCCAGTAGAATTTGTTACATCAGCTTAATGCATATACCCTTCTCCCTCCAGCTATGGGTTAAATAGTTGTATCTGGAAAATCATTGTCATCTCCCTAAAATCGTTAATGAAATATTCACTCGCAAGAAAAAGAATTATTCTTACAATCCAAAATGTTTCGGCTTTAAATAACCCACAAAGGGTTGATAAGCCGTAAAAAAAATCATCTTTGGTATCTCAACTCCATGAATTTAAAAATAGTCCTGGATTGACAGCTAGTTCTCATCATTCTATTGTTGAAATTGCTAAATGTAACCGTAATTTCTCTTTTAATAGTTCCTTCTCTCGCTTATGGAACTCTTTTCCAGCTTCATGCTTTCCTGTCAACTACGATAACCCTTGTCTTCTGTCTTCTTAAATCCTGTTGCTCTTATTGTCTTTTCTCCTCTGTAATCTCTTCTCAGTTTCCTTCACTCTCAGTACCCCCGCCCAGGTCTTAGAGGCGTTATTGCCTTGCTTGGGGTGAGATGATAAAAAAAAAGTTAGTCCTTCAGACAATTACGACTGTAGTGAGTTCGATCCTCGCTGGGGCCACTATTATTTATGATCCTGTGCTAACCTGAATAATATTTATCTTCTAAATAACGAAGCAGTTAACTGACGGTACCTATCTATTTATTTAATCACGAACATCATAGGTACTGGTATTATAATACTATTTGTTCCTTAGTGTGTGAGTTAGCTAGCGCGTACCTAACTCCCTGTCAGTGCTTCATAAATAATAAACTATTCTGTTTTGAAGGCAAGAAAAGACGGAAAGGACAGATCAGAAACGCTGTTTGGTTTCTGTAGTGAAAGTAATAATCAGGTACCCCGGAAAAAAGTTCGTGTTTTGTGTGCGATCTGCCGAAGAAGGAAAATTCGGGCATTTTTGGCTACGGCGTTTGCTGGGAGAGTGACTTATTTTCCTAACTGGTTACACGCTTTGTGAAAGTAATCTGCGACAAATTTGCTTTGAGAACGCTTACAATTACAGTTTCAGTGTGAAAAAGAAAGAAATACGATAAAGGATACGATAACGCTCGCCTGTGTTTAACGTCTGCTTCAGTGAAATGAAAAAAAACTTGTCAATGTCAAATCTTTTCATTAAATATTTTCATGGCATCTGCTTTGACGAAGTATTTTCACTGGTGCCCCGATTGCATGAATTTAAACGTGCTGCAAGGTTGGCATTTCGGTCCCACCCTTTTACTGTCGATACAATTAAATGCAACCGCCTCTTCTACTCCAACAGCTTCTTCTCTCGCACTTCCCGACAGTGGAACTCCCTTCCTCTTACTTGCTTCTCTGATAATTATAATCTTCAAAAATTCTTCTTTTTATTCTTTCCTCAATCCCCCCCTCCTTACTTTCACTGTCTGTAGCTCCCTGCGTACTAGTGGCACTCCCGCCTTGCTTGGGATGAAATGCTTTAAAAAAATCTATTACTTCTCTAAATAATGACCAGTATACATACTTATGAGTGTTATTGCAATATCTTGTTAAATTTGTCAAGCTCAAATATTTAACGATAAAATAGAGGAACTTCCACGGGTATTTTATAGCATTAAAACTCACAAGGAGTTAACTTCATAATTATGATTCATCAGGAAATTCAAATAGCAACACCGTATAGTTTTCTGGTGTATTTCTAGTATTAATTATTTATTGCTTTATCATTTTCAACTGTTAATCTGTCTATCGGTCTTTCTGCCTGTCTGTTTGTCTTTCAGTGCATCGATTCAAATCACAGTAAACAGAAGAGTATAGCCGAGAGAAAGAGAAATACAGAGAAAGCGTATTGACAAAGGGACGTGGATGTGAGGCCCTAATAATAATAACGGCCGGTGTGACAGTTCTGGAGTAAAGGGCTCAGAAGAGGCGAGAATGGGACAGGGGGGAGGAAACGTTAGATATGCCTCGAGCCAAGGGCCTCGTGCGGCGAGTGGAGTGCGCAGCTGAATGAGTGGATTTTAAACAGGGAGAAAATGAAGTCAAGAGCCGTCAACCCGGCAGCGGCTATTAACCCCATGCTGAGACTTGATATGCCCACGAACAAGTTTCTGTTATTTCACGTTTCTATTGGCTCAAACATATTCACGTAAACAAGAGTAAACACATACACATAGATACATACGCACACGCGCGCACAGACATATATATATATATATATATATATATATATATATATATATATATATATACTATCACACAATAATTTATATACACTGACAAACGTATAGGTTGACCTTCACAAGTTCATCAAACATCTATTTCTGCCATCAGTTCTGTCATTAAACTAAATATTGCCAATGTACCCATTTACGCCTCTCATAGATAGATAGATAGATAGATAATTAGAAGAATGAGATAGATAGATAGATAGATAGATAGATTTATCATTGTCGATCGGTACCTTTATCTTAATTTGTTCATCTATGTATCTTTTACATCTCTCTCTCTCTCTCTCTATATATATATATATATATATATATCTATTCTTGCATCCTTATGCTATGTGTTCATCTATTTTTAATGTGTACACGTATCTGACATAATATATTTGTCTCTCTTGTTTTCTATTGATTTTCATCTTTTTTTATACCTCTCTCTCTCTCTCTCTCTCTTCCAATCTATCTTCCAATTCTACTCGTTATCTCTCTCTCCCTCACTCTCTCCTTCGCTTTTTCTCTCTCACTGTCCTCCTCATCATCCTTTAATCATCGTAAACTTCACTGAGGAGTATGAAGGCCACAGATCTCAACAACACGAGAGGTTGCTGTTTTTTGTTTCCAGAAGGTTTTACAAAATAAAATTGGTAGTTCCATGTCGAACCGGTTTTGTACCCGGTGTTCTCAAGCGATCCCTATCTAAGTACTGACCGGCGTCAAAACTGCTTACCTTCGCTGATCAAACGAAGACCGTTGTTTCAGCGGGATTTGAAAGATAAAGTTCTCTCATAGATACATCGACGCATGCATACATATATTTATATATATATATATATATTAAACAATTTTACATATATATATATATATTCAAATGAATTTTATTACACACACACACACAAAGCCATATATATATATATATATATATATGATAAAAAATATAGTTTAAAATATACTATATTTATGGGTTAAAGTGCTCAATATAAGTGACAGAGACGTAAATATAAATATAATCTAGCCGAATTACCTGTGCCTTGCTACATGTCACACATTTTTTTCTAAGTAAATGATGATTGATTTTAAATCATTGTTATAATTTGTGGAAAAAAATGATGCATTTGAATATAACTCAATGATCTTGCCAATGTGACCTCCATCTTCTGACTTTCTCCTTCTATATTTTGGATAAGAGTCATTCCCTTGTTCAAATTTAATTTAAATGAAAGGGAAAAAATTTCAGTTGTGGGGTGTAAAAAAAGCTTGATCTGACCCCTTTGATATATATTTGATGCAATATTTGATTGAATGAATTGATGAGCAGATTTTAACATTCATATGACAGTTGAATTGTCCCTAAAAATGTGTATTGTAAGGTACTACCCACTGACTGGTGATTTCTTGCTCAACTTGACGCCCATATTGTCTCATTTTGATCTTGCCAATGTGACTTCCATTTGGATAGGAGTCATTCCCTTGTTCAAATTTTTATTTAATTTATATCAAAGGGAAAAAAATCAGTGGGGGTGCTCCTCGGGGGACTCCCTTTGATCAGAATGAAATATACTTATCCAAGTACCCTAGTAGTCATTCTCTTGTTCAAATTTAAATTTAATTTATATCAAAAGGAAAAAAATTTCACTACGTGCCACAAGGTCCCCAAACGACCCTCCACATGTTTTGAATACAGAGTTGCCCTTCTCCTAGACCAGTTGCCATCCAAGGCTATAGAACCCAGTCTGTCCTGCTATTTACCCATAACTGGAGCGAGAAGATGAGGATTCACACCTTTCCCAAGGGTATTAGCACGTAAGTGAATGTAATGGATTCGACTGGAATTCGAATTAGGCTCTCCGATTCCTCAATCTAAGCCGATATCCATTACTCCACCGTGTCTCCTATATATATATATATATATATATATATATATATATATATATATATATATATATATATATATATATATCGAGTTTCAATGAAAACGGATTTCATTTGTCATATTTCTTCAAATATATATATATATATATATATATATATATATTTCTAGGCTTCATCAGATCAAAAACAAAAGAAATGTGTGTGTGTGTGTGTGTGTGTGTGTGTGTGTGGAAGGCGAAACGCGTGATCAAATCTAGTTTCAATAAAAAAGCGGTTTTCTATTTGTCATATTTCTTCAAAACTTTATCTGAATTCAACGCCTGATAGCTTCCCAATCCAACCAAATATCCAGAATCGCCTTCTACGAATGCAAACTGGCTTTTTGAATTATATCAATAATGGCTCCTTGCAACTTTGTGACACAAAGAAAATATATATTCTCGATTTTTTTTTATAGAGAGTGAGTGAATCAATCAATCAAACGTACACGATTTTTAAATTACTGTTTTTTCGGACTTAAAATCGTATTTTCTTTTCATTTAGTCTTTTTTTTTCTTGGACACATTTAAAGACTCTATTTTTATGTTATAATAAAGAGGTCAGCTGAGGAATTGATTAGTTCACCAAAAATGACTCTTGAAATTAAGGCTATTCCTTATAAAACAGTTTTAACGATAATCAGAGCGAGATGTGGTTTATAGAAAATATAGAAAATATAAACGCTTGAAATTAAGGCTTTTGAAATGGCTTTTGAAATGGTTAACAGTGTTTTTGTTTTGCCCGAGAACCTTTTCACTCCATATTGTTGTAAACAATCTAGGTTCACCCATCGTCCAGTTCACACTCCTATCCGGTCTTTTGACCAGGAGTTGTGGTTTATCCCTTGTTTCCTGTTTAGGATTGGGTTTCCGGTTCCTTCTAAAGTCTCCTGCAGCTCTGTACTCCTAACCTCTGCACCTGAACTCTGAAATTTTATTCACTAATTATCTATTTTATTTTAGATTTTGTTTTTTCTCCTCCCCTAATAGTTGTAGATAGGTTCGCCTATCGTCCGATTCACACTCCTGCCCGGTCTTTTGAAAAGAAGTAGAGATTTATTCCTTGTTTTCTGATTAGGATTGAGTTTTTGTTCCCTCTTAAAACCTGCTTCAACTCTATACTCTTAAAGCTTGTCCTTTCTTACGCTAATACAACTCCACACAGTAACTTGAGCGGCCCTTGGGTCTTGTATTGGGTGAACATTATTTTTTTAAATTGTCATCGTTTGTGATTGCTCTTTTAAAAAAAACATGTTTTTTTGTCGTATTTGAGTAAAGAATGTCAGATATAAATGTGCACTAATAAATAGTTTCCCGTCAAATCATGACGTACCAAAACATCATAGCGATTTATGCATCCATTATTTTTCTTTTCGCAAATCCTTACAACGCTCCTATGAGACATATGGAGTATTTCTACGATGTTCCATGTCGTATCACCTGGATGATTTTCAATAAAATGATTCGATTTGGACATCAACAACTTGCAGACCTGCCGGAACGTGTTCGCTCTTCTTTATCAATATTTCCACTTCTTGGCCTTAGCGAACCACTTACGAACAGTCATCTCAGCTATAGCAAAATCCACATTTTTTTTTTCTGTTTGTACATTTTTTGGGGGGGGGTGCCTTTCCAGAAATAAAAAAAAGCATCCTATAAACTTTCAAAATTTATAATCCACATACGAATCGTAGAGAGAAGCGCATTGAAATGTCACCGTTTTTCATTAAAAACTCAGTCAGGTGCGAAACAAAATCACGAGTTCAAACACCGCCCATTGAAAAACGTTACGAATGTCTGATGCAAGCCAACACTGTTCGTCGATTCCAGCATTGCCCATATCTGTTTCATTCTTATTCTATCTAACCCACTCCCTTCCTAACTACTTATCTATTTGTCTATCGATCGACCTACCTATTCTCCAAGCTGAAGTTCAAATTTACCGTCTTCTTACATCCTGCTGCTATTGTTTTGTAGTTTTTTATTGTTGTTTTTATCTATTTATTTATTTTTTTATTACGCTACAAGCAGCATCAGTTCTGCGCGCCAACTCAAAACCACAACAGTGCAGTTTTTTTTGTTTTAGTCTGTTACGCATTTATTATTTCGATCTCCTGTAGCTTCGTCTGTGGTTCTAATGAATACAGAAAGTGCTTCACGTGGTGTTCAGTATAAACATCATACGTTGCCCGAAAGAGATAAAATTCAGCTTCTGAAAATATTCATAGTGAATTCTCTTTTGAATTATATCAAAAATGGCTCCTTGCAACTTTGTGACACAAAGAAAATATATATTCTCGATTTTTTTTTATAGACAGTGAGTGAATGAATCAATCAATCAAACGTGCACGATTTTTAAATTACTGTTTTTTCGAACTTAAAATCGTATTTTCTTTTCATTTAGTCTTTTTTTTTTTCTTGGGCACATTTAAAGACTCTATTTTTATGTTATAATGAAGAGATCAGCTGAGGAATTGATTAGTTCGCCAAAAATGACTCTTGAAATTAAGGCTGTTCCTTATAAAACAGTTTTAACGATAATCAGAGCGAGATGTGGTTTATAGAAAATATAGAAAATATAGAAAATATAAATGCCGTCATTTATTGTTGATAATTTAGATAGAAATTGTCTACGATATTTTTATCATTTCTAAGAGGCTAACAAAGTCATATGCATTCGACTGACGAATGTCATTAAAACTTCAAGCAGATAGATAGATAGATAGATAGATAGATAGATAGATAGATAGATAGATAGATAGATAGATAGATATCAAACTGGGTCATTTAGCTAGATATTATTAAGAGACTAGCATAGATAGATAGATATATATATAGATAGATAGATAGATATGAGTGTGAAATCTGCTTGAACAAGATCAAAAAATTGTCTTGACATTATTTTCTTCAGATTTTGCCAAGTTACGACGTGTGTATGCCAACGTGTTTACAACGTGTCTCCAAAATGAAGTAGTATTTCACAAGCGTGAGATGTACTTGTCACTTTCTGTTAGTCAATTTTGAAGCTTTTCTACCAAAGAAAGAAAGAAAGAAAGAAATAATACATGAATGAAAGAAATAAAGAAAAAGAAAAAAAGAAAATTTCTTCAAAACATTGGTATAGCACGTGACGGTCACACTTGGGATAGATGTGGAGTCCTGTTCTACTCTTGAAACTTCGTTCAAAGCCGTGATAACGGCTGGCTGGCTAGATAGATAGATAGATAGATAGATAGATAGATAGATAGATAGATAGATAGATAGATAGATAGATAGATAGATAGATAGATAGATAGATAGATAGATAGATAGATATGAACAGACTGAGATAGATAGATAGATAGATAGATAGATAGATAGATAGATAGATAGATAGATAGGAACACATTGCAATAGATAGATAGATAGATAGATAGATAGATAGATAGATAGATAGATAGATAGATAGATAGATAGAATTCACGGTATTATATCAATGAATGTATGCATTCGTTGTAGTCATACGAACAGAGAAGATAATGAAAAATTTGCGGCTTACACCATTAGAGATGTTAAAACTATGAATGCTTATATTATTAAAGATTTAACATTGAAAGAAGTCTGGTTTCTAACGTTATTGAATTTTAAAGATAGGAAAGAAAAACTGTTTCCTTATATCATTAAAGATTAAATATTCTGAAAATTTGTTGCCTGCGTCATTAAAGATAGTGAAAAATTGTGACTGTTAAATTCAATAAAAATTACAGATGATGAAAAAAATTGGTTGCTTACGTCATTAAAGTTTGTTTAGGGAAAAATTATTTACTTTTGTCACTGAAGATTAATCCAAAAAAAAATGTGATTTCTTATGCCATTGTAGATGGGGAAACATATGACTTTTTGCGTCATTAAAAATTTCAGCGGATATGAAAATGCAGTTTTTTACGTCATTAGAATTAAAGATGGCGAAGAAAAATATTGTCAGAGAAGATAATGATTTCTCTGGTTGTCAACAGTTAAAATTTGGCAACTTTAAAACTTTGTATCGGCGAAAGCCTTTGCGAGGGAGTTACAAAACATATTAATCTCAAACCCCCAAAGGGCCTTCTCCCCAGGTAGTACCTCTTCTTCGGGAGAGGGCTGGGTTTATTGCCCGGCACCTGTGACGTCCCCAAAAGGGGAAGTGCCGATGGGGCTTTTTCCACGGTATTGCCGTCAAACCCATTTTAAACCTCAATCTTGTGTCACATTCGGTAGCGACATGGGCGCGCTGAAAAATAAACTTTTTATTTATAACTTTGGAAATACCTCCAAATGCATATAAAGGTTTTACGATCGGGACATCTAGGGTTAGAGAACTCGTGAAAAAAGAAAAGCATGAATTATTGACTCAAGACATTGATAGTTATTACATTGATGTATGTTGTCTCCAAGAAATCAAAATCAATGGAGGACTTCATATCAATATCGGAGTTAGACAGCTAAGAAAGAAACAGTAAATATGGAAAAGATTCTGTCATCAATACCAAATGGAAGAATAACATCCATTGACATCGGACGAAAACCATAGTATACAACCATTTTTGAGCCTTTCCCCCCGCTCCGAGAGGATGTGGTATTATGATGCATGGAGGATTGATTGACGACGGATGAGTTTTTATGGTGAATGAGGAAATTGTAACGAATGAATCGGTCGTCAATCCGATTAGCTAGTTATAAGATAGATAGGGAAGACCAGCCTCAAGCCATTCCCCCTTTTCGGCCTTGTGCCATAATTGTATTAATTTACAATAAATTTCTACAACTATAGTATATACACGACGACATTAAAAGAACTTTCGATAAAGCTCTGTATACATAACGACATTAAAAACTTTCGAGAACTTGGACGAGACTTGCAACCCTTTCGTGATTTAACACAGGACAGGGAGGGTCTGGAGAGAACTGATAAGCTTATTTATTTCGTAAAAAATACAAAATTGCGGCACAAGGACAAAAGAGAAGAGGCTGGTCTTCATTAGCTATCCTAGTCTTAGTTAATCAGAATCACAACCCATTTATTCATTACAATTTGCTCATTCACCACAAGAACTCATCCATCACCAATTAATCCTGCATATACCATAATACCGCATATTCACAGGGGCGGGGAGGGCTAAAAAACATCCCATGATGTAAAATTTTCAATTTATTGTCCATAAAGTTCGTTTATATGAAAATTTTATGATTCATTAAATGATGAAGTGGGAGGATGAAACCAGAAAACAAACTAAAAATAGAAACACAAAGATAAAAGTAAAACGAAACAATGTTAGTAGAACCGCCCATCCCACAAAATAATAAGAGAGAACTGATAAGAGTTATTTACAAAGTCACTGAAGATGAGAAAACACGGATTTGCAAACAAGTCGAAACACCTCTCTCGATTGATTTGATTGAAGAAAACAATTTGCTTACGTAATTAATGATATTAAAAAAATGTTGAAAAAAAAAACGAGTTCCTTCTGTCATGAAAGATAATCCAAAGTGAAAATAAGTAAAATAGTCACTAAATAGAATCTTTAATGACGTAAAGAGGAATGCTTTTCAATAATTTTACGTCATGAAATCTTATTTTCCACTAAAAGTTTTAGTGGAAAAGACTTCATGGCGTTATTAAAGATTGAAGATTGTGAAAATATGGTTGCCTTTGTTATTATATATAAAATATAATGAAAATAAATGGTTCCTTGCGTAATTACAAAAGAAAGAAAGAATGAAAGAAAGAAAGAAAGAAAGAAAGAAAGAAAGAAAGAAAATTTACAGATTAAAAATAGGAAGAAAAGTGGTTTACTTATCCCATTAATAAATACAGTAAAAAAGGGATGTCATTATAAACGAGGAAAATTATTTTGTTTACATCATTAAAAATTTCAGAAGATAATATGGTTGCTTACATCATTTAAAGTTAAACATGGTGAAAATAGATTTAATATGATGAAAATATTTTTGTATACGTTACTGAAAATGACTAATGGTGAAAAATTCGTCACTTTGGGGGTAAGTATCAAGACAAGATTTGTGCCCGATCTCGAGCATATATATTCTGACTTGGCCCGAGTGTATGAGCTCGGGTTCTCCCCGTTAAATAAATGACTTTGTGTTGCATCCGGCCCCAATAAATATCCATTACAGATTAAATATGATGATAAAAGTTGCTGCTTACGTTACTGAAGATGATTAAAATGTTATTACTTACGTCATTAATTGTAATGAAAACTCTTTATTTATGTCATGTTGGTTGTTTTTTTTTTTAATTTTACGGCCTATCAACCCCTCGTGGATCATTTAAAGCCGAGTTTATGCCATTAAAGATGCCAGAGAAGTAGATGCTGACATCATTAAAACTTAAATATCGGGAAAAATACTTGATACCTCATTAATCGGTGTGTCTGGTGAAGCTCAAGCCAGAGTTTCCGCGTACGCCGATGACGTATCCATTTTCGTGTCGTGCCGCAGCGACATTGATGTGGTTTAGAAAGCGCTTGAACGGTACGAGAAGGTCACAGGGGGCAAGATTAACCGGGACAAGACTTCCGGTTAACGGTTAGGTATTTAGAAGGGTGTTGCTCTTCCGGAGCCCTCCATTTGAACGGAAGGTTCCGTGTGCATTCTTGGAGTGTGATTTGGGCCCGGCCTACAGCTGAAGAAGAATTGGTCGACTTGACTCCGAAGGCAGTTGTCCTTAAAGGGTAGGGCTCAGATGTGCTCCCAGTACATCTTTCCACTCATCATCTACCGGTTGGCAGTACACTATTTCTGTAAGAAACGTAGGTTGGCGATTGAGCAGTTTCTCTTCTCTCTCTTTTGGCGAGGGGCGCAAACCAAAGGTCTGTAGAGAAGTCTATGTCCATAGAAGTCTATGTCTGTGTTATGGGTAGCTAGGAATGCCACATTTGGAGTCTCGTCCGAATTCTTACTAGAATGTCAATCGGCCTTACGGGCTACTTCTCAGTCCAGTGACCTTTCACGGCCCAGGAGAACATTGTATTGGGATCTAGTGGAAGGGGTTGCGTTGGGACTCACACGGCTCGGCTTGTCGGCGTGTGAGTTCTACTCTTTCTAGTCCTGGACGCCAGCGGCGAATTACCCCAGCAATCCTGAATTTTTGTTTACCTGGAGATTCATCCAGAATGCGCTATCTTTAAAGGACGTGGGTTTCAGAGCGAGCTGGGCGGATATGCCCGATGTGACCTTGATTTAGAAGAAACGGCTGCGCACGCTTTCTATCACTGTTCCCAGATGCCCTCGTTCTGGGAGCATATCGGCTAGTTGACAGCTCGTATCGATCCCGAATATCTCGTATCCATTGATCTCACATACCCGTACGATAATGCATCGCCCCTGTATTCTAGGATAAAACGGATGGTGTGTCTGACGCTGCTAGCCTTGGCAAGGATGGTGATATAGATGACGTGGATGGAAAGAGTCTGATGACACGAACGTTATTCTCATCAAAATCTGGTTGGATTCTTTAGGCACAACCTCAAGATGAAGATCAGAACTGATAGAAAGCGTTTGCTATCGGCAGATTTCAACGAAAGGTGGGTAAATGCGGCAAGCCTGATTTACATGAACAAAAAAAAGAAAAGAAAATTAAGGCTGCCCCCAACCTTAATTTTCTTTTCTTTTTTTTTTCTTTTATTGTTTTGGTACCCTTTTTGACACAACGGGGCGGTATCATGTTGGACCTTTGCCTGGTTAAGCTAGACCCTTTGTTTGTCCAGTTAATGTTAGTAATTATTATTCCCTGCATTATCGTTCGTTAT